GGTACCTCAAGGGAGGGCGCTTATTCGAGACAGGGCGCTTATTTAATTTTTTGAGAAACAACCTAATGTTCAAAACAAAACTTTAATAAATATTAAAATAACTAACAATAACAGAAACCGCAACAGTAACAAATTGACAGTAAAGAAGCTAAAGAGCACGATGAATACGCAGTTGGAACTTACCTTGAAGCTGACAACAAACTTGTTGGACATGTGCCGATGGAACTTTCCTTCCTTATATTCACATTTCTCAAAGCCCGCCATGAGAACAATGTACAGGTCAAAGTGACTGGATCAATGAGACTGGAAAACGGACTTGTTGTCCCTGGATCCTTTCTGGCCAGAACGACCAGCAGAGCAATCGCCACAAAATTTGAAGAAGAAATTATTCGTTTGAAGAAATTATGTACTCACATGGACATTACAGTTGGGAAACTCAGACGAAGACCACTGTTTTTGTAATACATTATTACGTATGTCAGCTATTAAAGGAAGATAAACCACGTTTGATACGTACTCTGAAGGCGCTGTAATAATATTAGAATAGGGGGTGCTTATTAGAATAGGGGCGCTTATTAACAAAAACACATTCGAAGGGGGGCACTTATTTGGAAGGGGGCGCTTATTAGAAGGAGGGCGCTAAATCAAATCATTACGGTAAATAAAAGACTGATCTCTGAGTGGCAAAGTCTAGAATAGGATGCTGAGGGCCACTAGTTATTCAGTTGAAGTACTGTCCGGTGTTACCCTCGTTAAATAAAGTTGATTATTATTATTATTATTATTATTATTATTATTATTATTATAGGATGATATGAGAAAAAAAATTGGATAAATAAGTTGCATTTTTCTTAGTTTTTCCGACATGAAATAAAGTTTATCCTAATTTTCATTGTAAGGAACTCTTTTCACTTGGTATTACACTTTTTTTGTTTACTGTGTTACACCCATTGAGGGTAATATTAATACTGTAATCCAGACAACATCCTTGTTGGAAAGTTTCTGAGGATCCAAATATAACAGTAAGGCAGGGCTGGCACTAACATTTCAAGTTGCTGGGTATATGCAATTAGTAGGTGGTGGGGAATTAAACAACTAGCAAGGAAGCTTGGTGGGTTTTGTTTTTCTTTTGTTCCTTATAAAAGTAGCTGGCGATCATGCTCATAGTAGCCGGCCATGGGAGAAATCCCTGGCCCCCAGCCCTTGGAGCTAGTCCTGAGTAAGGGCAAGCTTCTTAACAACAATATCCTCATCCTTTAAGACTGATTCTTTTAAGGCTACCGACTGGAAAATCCTGAAGTACTGGACTGATTGCTAGACAATGTACAAGTAACTGCACCTTGGCTAGGGATAACAATCAAAATTAATAATAATAATAATAATATTATAATCACTTGTTGATTAACTTTAATTTAAGTAATATATCAATTACGAGTGTGAGGGCTTCATCGGGGTATCCAGACACCGAGAAACAGATAAGTATGGTGGCCGATATAGACACTACACACAAATAATAGATGGCAAAACGTACACAAACTTAGAAAAAAACATGCAAACTTAAGAAAACGCATGCAAACTTAGTAAAGAGTATGCAAACTTAATAAAACGCATGCAAACTTAGTAAAGAGCATGCAAGGCCGACTGCTGTTATTGTTTCGAGGTGTTTGGATACCCCGACGAAGCACAAAACACGAGTTTTTGGTATAGCTTCTTAAATGAGTGGCTGACTATTTAATTATTCATCATTGTTGTTGCATTTCATTAATTTTATTAAACAATAGATATAGACTTTGATAACAACCGTTTGGATGGAATGTGTCATTTGGGACTCATCCAACTTAATTTAGTGTTTATCATTGTGTGACATGGATATGTCAAGTTCAAGGTTTCAGACACCCAAAACTTTTGATGAGGAAAAAGAGTGTGATGAGTGTGATGAGGAAAGAGAGTGTTCAATTCTGTTCTGAAATCTACAGTTTACAAGAACAAATGAGCATTACAGATTTTTCAAGAATGGCAAGACCAAAAAGTGCTCAAGATTTGCACCATTGAGCCAGGTGGACTGTTTAAAGGTGAAGACATTGGTGTGGATGTGCAAGAGTTGACTGCAAGCATTGAAATCCCGAATGCCGAAAGTCTAAACTAAAGGCTATCCAAGTTCGTGCAACAGGTTGCAAATAAGTCAGGTGGATGATATCTGCACGTCTTGGATGCTTATTTACAGCCAATTGTCTGTGGCTTTAAACATTTCCTGGTAGAGAAAAATGGTGAGGGCACATTAGATTCTTTGGCTGTTGGTGACAAAAGGTATCATTTCAACTGATTTTGAAAGGTTTTATTTGAGCTTTGCATTTTAACTTTGTGTAACTTGTGTTGTTTCTTCCTATGGGTTTGGGACATTTCGAACTGTGATAATATGTGAATTACATTTTTTAAAAGAAAAAAATGTTTGTTGTTTGCATGAGACGTTATTTACTTAGAATTAATGTATTCATGTCACATGATTTTTCTAGAATCAGCCAACATTTGGATTTTGTATCCAAATCTTTAAAGACTTTCATCTGGTTTTTCATTGGGACTCTAAATGCATCCACGTGATGCAGTATATCCAGGTGTTGACTGGTGGGCATGAAATATGAATTATTATTAATGCACTTGAGAAGTCGTTATTCCAGATTCAGATTGCATAATATCTTACTTTCCCCCAAATGTAAGTGAGTTGCCCTCTGATCAAACATGACAAACAAGCTTACTACATGTATCTGGCCAAGGCTATTTTTTGTGGACTGAGAGTCACCACCATTGTACTATGATAATTTGATGGAGTCCTTTCCATGATTATAGCTTGCATATGTCAACAATGATGGCCACATCCCATTAAGAATCCAGTACATTTTATACAAAATCCAACACCCCTGAATTTTCAGACCCCTTTCCTCAGGGGTTGACCCTGACTTTTGGATCTTTAGGTGATTGCAGGCAGTCAACAGAAGGCTGGTATGTACTCTGTTGTTATCTTATCTCTCCATACTCTGTGATGCCGTGACTTGGTGGTCCCATTCGATATACACCAACAGTTTGGTCCTTTGATGCTGTTACTAAATCTATTAAGAAAGTTATATTAAGGAGAACAAATGAAACCACAGTCAAACTAAGGAACAAGAAAGATTGCTCTTCCTGTGGATTTTTAAGTGAGGATGTGGCACTGGTACCGGTATATCAAAGCCGTTACCACTTTAAGCCCAATATCCACCTACAAATTCTCCAGACTGATCTCCATAAATATTCTTAAATTCTATACTGATGATGTGCCACCAGTGGCGGATCCAGGGGAGGGGAAGGCCCCCCCCCCCCCCCTCCGGCCCCCACACGACTTAGTTGTAGACCAAACTGAGGCCCGAAGAGCCAAAAGAAATTTTTGGGAGACCGCCCCCCCGTCCTTATCTAAGGGTCTGGATGACTGGGCTCCCCCTTTATTAAAGGTCTGGATCCGGTACTGGCCACTACCTGTACTTAGATCTGGGCAGTGAGTAGTGACACATCATCAGTATAACAAAAGTTCTATGCTCGTTCCTCAGATATAACTTCGCAAAGAAACTGTAGGTGGCATCCTGAAATGTTGGTTATGTTCTATAAGGCTATGAACAATCATGTCTGCTGAGAATTAGAAGTACATTTAAAATGCATAGAGCTAAAGATACATTCATCATAAGGTGAAATATCAATATCCTCCACAGCATCTGAGTGACAGAACAAATCCTCTACAAACTCGTGATGATCAGGAAAACGTCGATATCTGTAAGAACAAATTATGAACAGTCTTCATGAAATTCACAAACCGAAAATATATATAAATTTAAGGTTCATTTTAAAAAATATGCAAATGGTTTTGGAAGCAGAATTAAATAAACCCAGCTCATGATGATAATTCACTTCACACTTATTCCACTAAAATTAATACGGCTGATTTTTTTTAAGGAAGTGACAGCTACAAAGTAGCAATTGAATTTAATTTAAGTTGTACCCACAATCTAACCCCTATTGATTCATTTGATAATTAAAACCTTCAGGGTAAACACTTAATATTAACAGATTTTCTACTTTCAATGATTTACTGACAATTTTAGTAGTCCTGGTGACTACATGTATGCTAAAAAGAGGGTGGCCACATAATGGGGACTACTTTTTAGAGGTTTAATAGTAATCAACATCTGGCCCTGGTTGTTCAAACATTGGATAGGGCTATCCACTGCATAGATCACTATCCAACGGATAAGTACTTAAGGAAACCAGTTGCGTTAGCCACTAGATAGATTATTATCCGGTGGATAGCACTATCCAACGTTTGAGCAACTGGAGCCTGTTGATTTAAGAATAGTTGCAAATTAATATTGTCATTGGCTAGTCAAGAGATCATTTTAATGCATGCCAGTTACCACCGAGTATGACTTACTTGCGAACAACTCCTCTGTCACAGACAGTAAATAGTGTACAAATGTACTTCCATTAGAAGTATACCTGAAAATACAAACTCTTTATGTCCAAAATTACAATTATTTTTATACTTGGTCTTATTAACCAAATGAATTTATACGTGAACAGCCCTTTGACTCTTAATCAAGCAAATTCTTTTCAATAAAAAGAATGTTATTCATACTTGATTTTTCATAGTGGATCTCTCCCATGTTCTTTCATTCGTTCTTGAACCCAGCTTCTGGGAAAAAACTTGTCAAAAAGTCCCGTCCAAACATAATGAGACCTAAAAGACATTGCAGAACAAGACAGGGAAAAATCATCATTTTTGATTACTTGGAATTGCTATACAAGGGGTTTAGTAGCAAAGGATCAACTTTTCAGAGGCAACACACAGTCTTCAAAAATATATGCTACCCACCATGCACCAGTGTATCTAAAATTTAGTGTGCGCTGAATCTTCAGTAGAGACTATCGTAAGCCACATTATCAACTACAGGTAAATGTAAAAAGAAAACAAAGGCAATTCAAAACATTGGACGAAAATGAGGGTCTCCGGGTGGGGGTCTTCCTGGGGGAGGAGCCCCAGGGGGAACCATGTTTGCCACACTCCGAGGAGGTATCCAGTCCCTATCGCCACGCCCTGGAGGTGGAATCCAGTCTCTTTCTCCTCTTAGAGGCGGTCCCCGTTCTGCTGGAATCCAGTCCGCATCAGACCGGGGAGGTCCCGGGAACCTTCCTGGAAAACCAGGCCCCACTGGCCTTGGTCCAAAGCCTTCCTCGATAGGAGATGGGGCCATTGGCCTGGACACTCGCATCTCTTCAAATCGTGGAGAAGGCCCTTGCTCGGGCCGAGGGAAGCCACCTTGAGGGACATGTTGCATAGGGGCTGGTGCAGGACCTTGTACGGGAAAACCACTGACCACAGGATGTTGCTGACGCGGTCCTTCCATAAAGAACGTTTCCCGAGGTATAGTGGGTACAGCAGGGAAATGGCGCCCATCCATGACTGGTACAGTTCCTACATTGCCAAAGGGTCTTTCCCCTGGCAACATGGGGCACGGGGGCACCGCGGGAATGGTCTCGTGTAGAGGGGCTGGGAAAAAGGGGGCTGCCTGAGGAAACATAGCGCGCTGTATCTCATTCTCAGCTTCCTCTCCTCCATCACTCTCCCCTCCCCCCTGCTCTCTCTGATGACGTCTCTTAATGTGCGACTGTAAATCTCGCTGGGAGAAATAACTCCGACGACATCCCGAGATTCCATAGCGGCTTCCACCGACTGAACATACATACACACTGCCCAGCGGTGCTCGCTCAATCCTCTGAACACTTTCCCCACACCTAAAGTAAAATTTAAATGAATTCAGAGACCCTGATGAAGGGCAATTTTTGGAAATACTCCCGTTTTGGTTATTTATCTCGTTTTACCTTGGAAGCTAGTCTCTCAAGCAGCCGTTTTTGTCACGTCACGCAACCCCACTCCCTATGAAAGGGAGGGGAAAGGGGAGGAGGGAGGAGCGTTGTGTGACGAGACAAAAACGAGGAGGTGGGAGACTACTTATAAGCTGGATCTTAATAACACAACTCTGGACACATGAATAGCAACTTTCAGCAACTTAGCTGCATGGCTCGTCTGTACGTTAATCAAAACTTTGAATTTCGTCTCTTTTTCATCATTTGAATTTGAGAATTTTTTTTTGCCATGTAGCCCAAATTCAAGTCCTGCTAACGACCTCGCACTTCCAAATTCCAGTTATTATTGATTCTAGAACTCACAAACCCTTTGAAACGAGTTTTTAAGAACTCGGAAGTGCCTTGTGATTAAGCAAGTTAAGGTCAAAATAACATGAGCAACCAAAGTCAACCACACTTCTAATGGCATAGCATTGAATGTAATATTGATTGGTTCTAGGACTCGCAAACCCTTTGGAGCGAGTTTAGAACTCCGAAGTGCCTTGTGATTAAGCAAGTTAAAGTCAAAATTACAAGAACAACCAAAGTCAATCACACTTCTAGTGGCATAGCATTGAATGTAATTGGTTCTGGAACTAACAAACCCAATCGAACGAGTTTTTAAGAACTCTGAAGTGCCTGGTCTTGATAAAACAGGTATAGTAAGAATTATGTACAACCAAAGGCAACCACATTTCTAATGACATAGCACTGAATGTACACAGCCCAGTGTAAACATTATTTTTTGGTAGACCAAGTTGTACTGAGGTAACACATATGATGAAATCCATTTTAAATCTACCTTGGGCATTTTCCATTTCCCTTTTCTGCGCATGTTAAACAGAAAGAGTGTTTGCATGGACTCTGAAATAAAGACAAGGAAGGCATAAATTATTAATTTTGAAGGGAACAAGTCATGTAGAAAGTGTTTTTCCACACACCCAGATTTTTGGGCTGTACTTACAATTGGACTTAACGCTCGTTTTAAATCATAATTACCGATTACCCACCTGTCTTTTACCCATTGTAACACAACGCGCACAATTGAATGTGAACAAAACATACTACCCTAACAAACCCACAGAGAGAATTAAGCAGAGCCACTGTTGCACGTTTTAGAACATGACAAAAAAAACATACATGTATGGAAGGTTTCAAAAAAGGGTCATCAATGCATTAAAGCTGCATCACTGTATGAACATTTAAAATACATTCCCCACGTTTTAATATTCTCATAATAATAATAATAATAATAATAATAATAATAAATTATAACATTTACTTCTAAAGCGCCATTTCCATTGCTGTCCAATGGCGCTTTACAACAACAATTACTTTAAAAAAATTAATAAAATGAACTAATAACAGTGCACTGTATAAAAATTTTAAAATATAATTGAGCTATGCGTTTCACAATTATTGTTAAAATGAAAAAAAATAGATAATATGAATAAAACCAAATAAAAGCCAAATAAAAAAAAAATGTAGTAAATATGTTCCTAGGATGATCATAAATTAAAAGCCTTCTTCAAAAGATAAGTTTTAACTAAAAGACCTGATTTGTCAACTATAAATATATATATTTTTTATTTTGGGGGGATGTTCATGTGAACATTTTCCATGATCAATATCCATTTACTGGAGGTTTTTTTAATCAATAATCCACTATAATCGATGACCTGGATACCACTAAATTCTACAACAATTTTGTTACTGACAGCAGTTCAAGCTTTACACAAAATACTGATCACAACATACCATGGGAGATACAATGTACACCAATGGCATAACACTGGAGTTATAACGATGAAAAACTAAAACCTCCAGAAAAAGTATTCCACAAAATTAATAATAATCTTGCAGAGGCTGGAACTACCAAAGAGAATTATTTTACCATTTAATGGTAACACCAAGACTTTCATCCAGACTCAAAAACAAGAGCTTCAGTGCATTCATACATCATGACATTATGCCATTAACTAGCTCGAAGGGTAAACAGGGTGCAAAGAAAGTCAGTTTTACAGCTTGCCATTCGTGCAAGCTGCAACTAGCATGCACCAGCCCAAGAGTCATTAATGAGCAGGATTGATGACAGTTCTTCTGTAATGCGAATTTTCTAAAAGAAATTCATTTGCCAATAGAGTAAATTGAGAACAGAATTCACTAGCCTGATAACCGAAATCTGCTGGTCCCGGGCTATCGGACACGACTTTCTTTGCATACTGGTAAAGGAGTACATAAGTAAATACTTGTTATACATACCAGTCGGCCATAAACAAGGATAGGGAGAGAGCACTTTTCACAAAGGTGGAGAAGTGGATCTTGCACTTTTTGCCCAATCGGCAAAATCTGTGAGGAAGACAGGAGGATAAGCTAAGCTATTTTGAAACCTAAATGTCTTGTTTTTGTAACAAACTGATATGATAACAGAAACGTAAGAGCCTAAGTTATCTCATCTACGTGTACAGGTAGTCAACTCTCGCCTTAACACCCCGTTATGGACACCCCGATAATACGGACAGCAGATAAATTCGGGCAAAAATAAATTACAGATATTTGATTGAAATAAACTCCGCTATTACGGACTCTCGCCACAGAGGACACTAACTTAAGGTCCCTACAGAGTCCGCTATAAAGGGTGTTGAAAATTAAAAATGACTTAATTTTGGGGGCTTCCATAAAGGAACTAATATATGTCCAAGGCATCTAGTTAATTCTAGGGGTCCAAGTGGGGGTGTTTAATAGTTAGGAGGCATTTAAAAGAGAGAGGTGTTTATTCTCATAACTGTAACAAGCTCAACAAAACTAACATGCTTTTGCAGGGCTTGAAATTTTGCAAGGTTGCCTTTTGGCGACCAACTGGAGAAATATAGTCACCAGATGCAAATTTTTAGTGGCCAGTTTGTATCACATAAATGACGCAGCTCATAGTCAGGGCTTCTGATATTTTGCGCGGTCGCAGAGCCGCGAAATTCACAAAACCACGCAAAACACTGCAAAATTTGGTAGAAATCTTATCATTGTTTGTACAACATATGTAATATTTGAAACATTTCTCAGCTATTGGGGCTATTTGCTTGCCGTACACTTGTAAATTTATCTTGAAACTTTGTCACTAAAATGTGCAAACAACGTCCTGAAACTACTAGGGGTAGATTATGTTGCAAAAAACTGGGCACTAGCCATGATGTTAAAGGCTTTGCCATTGTTTCAGTTCTGGAGCATATAGTTGTTGAATGAGCAAAATTTAATGATCTCTGTTAGAAAAACATTAAAAACACTGGTCTATGGTCAGCGCAAAACTGATCAATCTCTAACAAAGTTTTCCCTGAAAATAACCACAAAATCGGCCTTTTTTTACCGATTGATTTTCGGCTAAGTTTGTTCCACAAATTCCCGTAAAATCAGTCAATTTTTCCGCGAATTTTCCCCTAAAAATCCCGTAAAATTTGACTTTTTCCACGACCTATCAGAAGCCCTGCATAGTATGGTGCAATCCATCAGATTTGAAAATATCGTGGATAGAAGTCAGTATAAATTTGGAGGTAAACTGGCTTTGTTTATGCGATTTGGCACATTTTTTTACAATGAAAGCAAACCAGGATAAGATGAAATGTTTGTTTTGACTTTACTAATTTAATTTAACCCATTCGCCCCTGAACCGCCCGTAACCGCCCGTGCGGATCCAGGTCCTTTCTACCCTTTGTGACGTCATCAGTTTTAATGGTCAAGGACAACTTTCTTCGCTGACTTGTGCAGAGTGAAGAGATCTTTCAAACCATACCAGAATGAGCACAATTCAGTCAAGGACACCGGAGAAAGAAGCAAAAAACCAAGTGACATTGACCTGAAAATCTCCATGAAAATCTTGTTCCATTGCCCACCTACCTTTCCTTTCATCTCATCCTAAGATCCTAAAAGCTTTCCTAAAAACTCTTCCCACCAAAATGAAGCCTACTAAATGCCCAGCAAGAGAAAAAAAAAATGAGGCAAGAAAAGCGAAAAAAGAAGGGAGGAGAGAAAGCGAAAAGTAAAAGTCAAGACTGCTGTGTCACTTTTAAATCTCGAAATTTTGCTTTCTGCGCAAGCCCGAACTTCGTAAGCTGATATTTTGCATCTGGATCACAAGGCCGCGAAGTGTACGACCTGTAAACCGGTTTGTGGTAAGTTTTAGCTCTTTATAGCACGACAGTGACCAGAAAACCACTCGACTAGCTTCAAAACGCGTTTTTCGGCAAGATCTCCAGGAGCGAATGGGTTAAATCTAAGTCATAGAGAAATCTGGTCGCCACTTTGGCGACTAAACTAAAATTTTCAGTCGCCAAGAAGAACATGTTAGTCCCATTGGCAACCCTATCAGTCGCAATTTTGAGCCCTGTTTCGACAAAAATATCAAGAGAGTTTAAAAATGGTGGAATATCCACTCCATCAATTTTGATATGTCTAGGCTGTCTAGAGATCCATATCGTTCTTTTTCAAATCCCAACATCGATGTTAGAATCCAAGTTCATTGTTTTTGCGTTGCCATGGTTAGTCTATCCTCATTTTTAACTTAACATTGAGCAAGATGAAATATGCATTTACCTTTGCTAATCAAGCAAGAAACTAAATGAATTGAATGATTTTGCACCTTTTTGCTAATTCCTAGTATTGTAGAGTAATTCTCATGGGGAACCATCTATTTATTAGACAGGGGCCTTTATTAAAGAGGGGCATCGAATAAAATTTTAACAATGTTGAGGGGGCGTTTATTTGGAAGTAGACGTTTATTAGGCTGTTTATGGTAAACAACTTACAAATAGGGGCTAAGTGACTGGGGCTAAATAAGCATAAATTATAAAATTAATAGTACATACTTGATGATCCCACTTGAGTTCTCTCATGACAACCACTTGAGCGGCTGCAGCTGTTCCAGGGGATTTCTGTTTCCTTTTACTCTCCTTATCACCTAACAGATATGACAAACAAAGAATAAAATAACTATCCAGGACTTCTGACAACTAAGAGGACCTTTAACAATCTAGCGAAATGTTTGCATGTGTAGTTTACTCGGTTTTACTTGAATCCTATGGTCTGAGAACTGCACAACATGTCATTATGACCTAACTGTACTCTATGGCCTCTACCTGAATAACTTTTACACAAATCCAGGCAAAATTAAATAAAATTGTTTGTTATACTGGACTTCGTTATACAGAGTTTCATTATATCGAGGTTCCACTGTAATACTGATTGTCTCTTTTGAATAAACAAACATTCACAGAAAAATAAAAAACTTGTCAATGTTGCTTATTTCCTCAAGCAGGGCTGTTGCTCAGATTTCAAGTTGCTGGATATACCGTACATGTTTAAACGTACAATATGTAAGCAGGGCTCAAAACAAGTCCCATCTGGTAGTGCTGGACAAGAAACTTTTAAGGCTCACTTGCCCAATAAGGGTCAAGACAACAGTACTGATCCTCTAACAGAATCGTTAACAGAGAAAAGCAAAAGATGGCCTTAACCAAGCAAAAAATGAGAGCTGCTTGCCCCAAGGACAAGCTGGACTTCAAGATTTTTCAAGCACTGTATTAGTTCTATATTCTATATTCCATTTTCTAATGAAAGTAGCCAGGGTTCATGCTCATAGTAGCCAAAGGGAATCCACTGTCTCAGGCTCTTATTGACAGAGCTGCTCAAGAATGTGTGTGTCTCTCAACCAACAACCTTCATACAGCATTCCTCAGGTTCCCATTTATACACCTGGGTGAAGAGACAAAATGGACTAACGTTTCTTGTCTAAGGAAACAACATGAGAGCAAGGCTTAAAACCAGACATACATTGTACAGCATTGAAAGAAAATTGGCTTCTTTACCTTCAGATCCTGTCCTAGACTTTTCTCCACTTTTTCCTTCCTTTTTCTTGCTTTTCCCAGATGACAATGAGCTTGCTGACTTGCTCTTTGCTTTCAGTTTTAAAGAATGTTTCGTCTAACTGGCTGTGAGGTGGACCCTGGAGCTGCTCCTTCATGCTCCAATTCAAGATCTACCAAAACAACATAAAAAACTAACAGATTAGTCTGTCTTTAGTACAATGTATAGAGATCTTTTTGTCATGGATTTACATGTATTTTTCCAGGCACTAAAAGAGATAACGTCTAGATCACTTTGTTAATATTATTTTTTCTAATTACACTTGCTTATGTGCTGAGGAACTTTACGTTAGTATAGGTAATAGCATGATTAGTAGCGATATTTGGTATAAATACCACAAGTGATATTTATACCAAATATCACATACAAATTATGCTATTATTTGTTTATACTACTACCTGCAAAAGGTTTGTAATTTTCACATGTAGGTGTTTTCAAATCAAAATTTGCTCTAAAATCAAATTGCAGAAATTTCTCATGAAATATCATAAGTGGTATTTATGCCAAATATCACATACAAATGATATTTCGAATGTTATACGTATTATTTGTTTATACAACTACCTGCAAAAGGTTTGTAATTTTCACATGTAGGTATTTCAAATCAAGCTGAAATACCACTGCTCTAAGCCCATCAAATTGCAGAAATTTCTCATGAAGTGGTATAAACAAAGAAAGAATTGTTTATTATACCAATAAGAGTTACAGCAAAAGCACCAAAATATAGGGGATATACACAAAAAATACAGATACAGAGCACTGAGAACAGCTAGATTTAAGATACATCATACGCACTGACAAGATACGCTAAGCAAAAAAATTAACAAAGTAAAGGGATGTCAGATCATTTTGAAAAAGCAATGCAATTTAAGTACAATTAGTACAAATTAAATCTAGGTAAACCTATAAACCTCAAAGAAAACGAAAAAAGCTGCCACAAGTAAACTGTTCAGTGTCAAGTACTGTGAAATTCACAACAACCGGCTTATTAAGGGTCTAATGATCCCAATGGAAACTGAGCTAAACAACTGATCAACAACTAAAAGAAATACATTTCATACTGTTAGAATTTTGAGAAAATTCGTGGACCAAAAGATGATATTTACAAAGGAAAAAGGTACATGTTTCATGGTCATTTTCTGAGAGTAATGGCAGAAACTCTCCTAGCACCTGAACCTAATTATAAATTGAAGTATTAAACCCTCAAAGATTAGATATGTAATACTAGTGAGATTAGTTGAAATCAGAAGAATAACTCATCGACATAGCGCTACAAACCAGACCAAATCACGAAAAAGCTGAAAATCAACGCTGCGTAGAGTTGCAAACGTTTCATTTTCGTGAAATAAATATGAAAAAAGACTTAATAACATAAAGAAAACATGTTTTTAAAACTGAATAGCGCCAAATTAAGGATAAATTTAAGCAATAAGTCAGTGGGAAAGGCATGCTTACCCCCTGTTTACCGTCCTCCATCTTGAATTTTCCTGTGCTTTAGCTTATGACCGCTGTGCAGCTTGTCTCTTGATTGAGCCTTCGAAACTGTTCCCCAGGCCTACTCCAGGATGAACTTTTTTCCCCGCGTACCGATAACCCTGTATATTTTACATTGTACTCACTGTCTGTCTTCTCATTGGCTTAGAGCCTATAGATAGTTTTGGAAATCAGCGCAACCTAGTCTACAGAACCTACAGATTAGTTAGTTATCTGCTAGCGGATACCTGACTAATTTGTAGATTGAGCGCGCAATGCATGATTTCCAATTACATCAATTCAGGTTCTCAGCTTGCGACGACGGTGTTTGTCTTTTTAGAAATACGCATCACTTCGCATTTATCAGTGTTAAATATCAATTGTCCCAATATTCCAAACGAGTAACAGGGGCACCCAATGGATCTGTTCCTCAAAATATCTGTTCTTCAGGCACATTTTTGCTGGCTGGGAGATGTGAAAGAAATAATAGTCCTTGGAAGGAAAGTGTTGCTTAATTCAGGGTGTCAGCATTTGAAGTCTAGAATAGCTCTTGAATTGTGCCCTAACAGGTTGTATTGCTGGCTGGGAACTCTTCTATCAGTCTTGCTGGGAGTAGTAATTTTTTTTCCAGTCCCCAAAATGCTTAAAATAGTCTCAGAAAACCACGCTTTGCTGTTGTTTTTAGGTCTTTTTCTCAAAATTTCCTTCCCCTGGATAAGATCATCTCAACAAAGAGTTCTATCATCAGCAAAGAGTCTTGTGCACGACGTAATTCCTTGAGATATCATGATGAAATCTGGGATTGTTTTTCTTTAGTTGAAAAGCATTTTTTTCAGTTAACTGTAATCAAATCCAATCATCAAAAGGTAGACAAAAAATCAAATTGAATTTACCTTTTGGCTTTCATATTTGAATTCAAATTTTGCACTATACTAACTATACTATTCTAACCCTGGGTTATCTTCAGCTGAGCGAGCTGCGGCAGGTTGAACCCCGGCCCAACAACCAATCAAGGTCTCTCTTCCCATTTCTTGAATACGGATGTATTTCTCTTATTTCTTTCATTTTAATCATCTAATTGATCTATTTCTATTTCTTTCCCTTTGTTCTGTTTCTTTTTATTTATTTCCTTTCTTATCATTTAAACATTTTTTTAAAAAAATATAGTTTTAACTAAAGGGAACCAGCCATCCGCATATTAATTTGCTCATGATACTTTGGCCTTAAAGCCTTTGATAGAATGATTCATTTTGGCGAGAACTAACTCTATCATTCTTCATTTGACATTAGTTGAGCAAACGTTTTAACGGAAGGTCTCAAAGATCGATTACATGTTAGTCTGTTCTTAATTACAAAGCCCATATCGCCCCATACTGTAAGGTGATCCAAGACAGTCATGGATGCTCAGGACTGGACTGGATTCTACGCTGTGGATTTCAGATTCCAGGTACTGGAATCAGGATTCCCTGTCAGTGGAATTATTGATAGCAGAATTCCGGATTTTTATTAAACCTAAATTAGGGATTCCAAAGCTCAAGACTCCGGGGCGATTCCAAAAGCAAAAATTTCCCTGATTCCGGATGATTAAAGGCTGCGAGCAGTCTCTCTTTTCCTTCCAATTTAGTGAGGGGAGTGCACGGTCGCGCGAGACGCAAGAAAAGAGGCGAGAAACGCACCTCTCCTGTCTCGCGCCTTCAGTCACTCGCGTGGCCATTTGGGTGTCTCGCGCGTCTTGCTCGACAGACTAAGAAAAACGAGAGACTGCTCGTATTCTAGGATGATTACCATACATGGGACGCTGGATTGATAAATTGGTGACTTATAAAGAGAAGAAAGGGAAGGGATAGGCACGAAGAAGGGAGCGGAGACTCACACTCTCCTTAGCCTGCATAGCTGGCGATTTAGCGGCAGATGCTGTACTTTTTTGGCGGCGGAGCCACGTGAAGATTGGGAGCAAGTCAAGGAGGGATTTTCACCTTTCTCCCTCGCGGTTTCGCCGCTCGATTTGAGTGGCAGCTCTTTCGCCAAGAAAGTACCCTAGGCACAACAGTCCCGCCAGCTACGCAGGCTACACTCTCCTTCACGCTACTCCATGACTTTTAAAAGCCTGGGATAGTAATGAGCTAATGAGATGCAACTGTGAGCATCATCGCACACTAAGGTGATCAAGCGTAACTCAGTTCGATCAGCGACCACAGCTTGGTTTAAAACAGTGAAGGACACTATACACCTATGGAAGAAACAGAGCTTTACTTTGCTTTTGGGTCAAATCTGAGCGCAAGAAAAATGCGGGAACGCGGCACTAGGTTCATCTCTCGCGAAAGCGCAGTACTTCGAGGATTTCGCGTCGTATTTAGCATATGGAAAGACGATGGCTTTGGTTATGCTAATATTATCCCAGATAAGGAGTCAACCGTTTATGGTGCCTTGTACATCTGTTTAAAAGGAAGTTTAACCAAGTTAGATGAACACGAAGCAGGGAGGCTTCGGAGAGTGAACGTACAGGTGGAAAGAAAAAGCGGCGAAATCGTGGATGCGACAGCGTATCAAGCTTATGAAAAGT